CAGGTTCGGTTCGGCGTTCGAACGCGTTCGAACCTGGCAAGATTTCGGGCATCTCGGTGAGCAGGAAAGTCATTAATTCCCCGTCTACGTCATCTAACATCCTGTCCTCATGCCTGTATTCGGTGCACAGCATCGCAACGCTGTGTAACCCAGATTTCTGGCTCAAACATTTGGTCAATGGATGCACACCAACCTAGGTTCAACGTGAGAAGACGACAAAAAATCGCGACTGTTGCTCACAGCTACACCCCCGTAAAAATAGCCCAACAGCTACTGTTAAAATGCATGGTTGAGAGGCCAAAGAGGTCAGAAAACTCCGAAATCATGATAAAACTCACTGATCTTGAGGGTTTTCCGGTTCAGGTTCAGATATTTGCTGAACCTGAACCCGAACGCGGCGTCCGGTTCAGGTTCGGTTCAGGTTCGAACCGATTTTCGAACTGAACTTTGCCACCACTACCCAGAAGACTTCTTGTCCATGCCGTTTTATTAATCCGTTGATGTCTCCCATGATGGCATCTCCATTTTCCCCCAGGGAATCATGTGGCTCTTTTGGGGCAGCACAACAGGACGTAAACACCATGGACAACATGAAGAGGTCGTGCTATCCGAGCTTCCTCCCAGCTCTAACGAGGCTCCACTTTTTCTATCTTCGAGAACCTTCCGCTGCTGACCTGTCCACAGGTTTATAATCCTGCAAAGCTGGTCAATGAACACATCAACCGTAAGGTATTACTTCATTATGGACCGCATTTTCTCCCCTATATCTCTCACAACAATGCTCTCAGACCCCGAATGCAGCCGTTGTCATGTCTCGTGGCAATGACTGGTCTGATATGTTGGGCAATGTGTGCACTCCCGTTCGTGTTCGTTATCAGTTCTTTGATATTGTGGTAGTATCCTGCAATCACGGACCTCGCAGACTTGCTCCGATGGATTGATGACGAGGTTGCTATCACAGAAAAAGATGATAAGCACCTCTTTCGGTGCCCAATGCTTTTGATTAATATTACAGGTCCCAGGCGCAACATTTCTCGGAAGAAAGTTTCAACAACACCCACGGACCATCCACGTGCTGATGGACGGACTGATGGACGGACTTGTTACTTTTCGTCGCGTCCTGTAGGTTGCTCGATATCAACCTACGGTAAACAACCTGCAAAACAGCCTATCACAAGTTGCTCTAATTCTGCATAATTTCGCTAGGTTGTTAGTTGTGATCAACCTAAGATAGCTAGTAACCTACGGCAGGATACGAAAAATACCACCAACCTACTGTAGGTTAGCAGCAACCAACACTAGACTGATAGTCAACCTAGGATAACTCCACAGTGTGGGATATCCGGGGAGCTCATCTACCGATGATACTCTCCCGCTGTCCCAGGGGACATTTAAAGATGAATGTTGAAAAGAAAGACACCGAGGCCAATAGCGACCGCGATGAGCTCATTGAGGGCCCCGTGCCAAGCGGAAGCGTGGGCAACCACCTAAACCCCCTGTCTCTGCCGACTCGCCAACCCTCTGCCGACTTGGATCAACTCCGGACCGAAGAGGGGCCGACCCCCGAAAGCAAGGTTCCCCGAAAAAAGAGAGTGGTCTCTCATAGACAGAAACAATAATGATTTATGCTTAGTTGTGTTGTGCTTGTGAACTGTATGTCACCTCGCTACAGCCTTGGTTTAAGGCAGTCCCACACTGTAGGTGATTCTATGCTTGTTTTATACACCTCACCATGATTTTTTTAATCCTCGGAGAGGGGGATCTGACGAAGACCGACCCGCACTTGACAGGTTCTAGTATGCTGCAGCCTCCCCGCCAAACCTGATCACCATCTCAGTCTTGGTATGTTGGGCAGGTCTCGCCAGGACCTGATCAATCAATTTTCCGACATGACACTTCCCCGTGGACGCGAAGACTTCAAGAATGTACGATTCAATTTAAGTTTGCCATCACCGTCATGACTGGGGTGACAGAGTGCCTGAGTCGCACTTTGTTGTCGCTTCGTTTTGCACAAATGCATTGATGTCGTGTAGACACTCAGCCTCAAACACTATAAAACCGCCTCTCTCTCAATCCTCACTCGAACTCATTTCCCCATCCTTCAAGTTCGCAGTACACATCAAGGAAATAATGTTCTCCAAACTGTTTGTCGTTGTCACCTCGGTGCTCATGGCACGCTCCGCCGATGAACATATTTTCATGAGCTGACAATTGTCTGTTGTCTCAGGTCCGTGCTGTCGCCAGTCCCAGCGGCCATCCCACTCGCCCTTCTCCCGCTCCTGCCGTAGGGACTCCCCCTCCCCCGATCACCCCTCAGAACTCTCCCCAGTGCTGCGTCAGCGTCGTGCCCGCATCGAGTGTTCCCGCTGCCGCCGTCGCTTCCGTCGTGGGCCTCGACCTGACAGGGATTTTAGTCGATGTTGGGTTGAGCTGCTCCCCACTCTCCGTCGTAGGGAACAACTGGTAAGCAATCTCTCGATGTAATGCGCATCTGATAATATCACCTCGCTATACAGTGGATCGACTACGGTCATTTGCGACCTTCCCTTGAAGAAATGGAGTAAGGCTGGCCATGCACACCATTTCCGTGTACTTACTGTGCTAACGAACGGTTAACTCACAGGTCGTCTCATTGCCATCAACTGCATCCCCATAACCCTCTGACGAGGAAGTTCGTTGGAGAAGAATACTTCAAGTTGACTGGGAGGCCCGGGGCTGATGTGCTGAATTGTTGTTTTCGATTAGTTTTGTCTCCGATTCTCTCTCAGTCCTCACTCGAACTCATTTCCTCATCCTTCAAGTTCGCAGTACACATCAAGGAAATAATGTTCTCCAAACTGTTTGTCGTTGTCACCTCGGTGCTCATGGTACGCTCCGCCGACGAACATATTTTCATGAGCTGACAATTGTCTGTTGTCTCAGGTCCTTGCTGTCGCCAGTCCCAGCACTCGCCCTTCTCCCGCTCCTGCCGTAGGGACTCCCCTCCCCTGATCACCCCTCTGAACTCTCCCCAGTGCTGCGTCAGCGTCGTGCCCGCATCGAGTGTTCCCGCTGCCGCCGTCGCTTCCGTCGTCGGCCTCGACCTGACAGGGATTTTAGTCGATGTTGGGTTGAGCTGCTCCCCACTCTCCGTCGTAGGGAACAACTGGTAAGCAATCTCTCGATGTAATGCGCATCTGATAATATCACCTCGCTATACAGTGGATCGACTACGGCCATTTGCGACCTTCCCTTGAAAAAATGGAGTAAGTCTGGCCATGGACACCATTTCTGTGCACTTAATGTGCTAACAAACGGTTAACTCACAGGTCGTCTCATTGCCATCAACTGCATCCCCATAACCATCTGACGAGGAAGTTCGTTGGAGAAGCATACTTCAAGTTGACCGGGAGGCCCGGGGCTGACGTGCTGAATTGTTGTTTTCGAATAGTTTTGTCTCTTTTTTTTTTTTTGTTGCTCGCTACATCCAACTCACTTTGCGCTGCATGGCAGCATACAAAAAAGAATGGCTTAGAGCCATTCCGCCTACGCTGTTAACCACGACAGCGCGACTGATGCGCCATGATGTCCAACAGGTGACATCCACTGAATTCACACCTTGGCTGTTTCCACGCTGTCTAAGGCTCCAACCACTTCCGTTTATAAACATTTATACACGGTTTGAACCGTTTTCGTTTTCATTTAATTTGGCCAAGGGGCCAAACGGTTTGGAAATTGTTTTTTAAACGGTTAAACGATTGCCGAAGTTGACCCACCTCGAGGGGTTGGACAGACGAAGATCTGGGCATCTTGGATGTCAAGATGTTTCTTGAGGTATATTTGATCCCCTTGAATGGGTGTATTGACTATTTTGGCGCTCAGCGGCGGGGCACATTCCCGTTATGATAATTGATGGTTCAATATCATCAGTGATGCGCAATCACCCACCGCCGCGGCGCGCGATTGTCTGCTCTTGAACGTGAATGTTTGTGGAATGCCCGCAAAAAAAAAGTAAATACCCTGAGTAAGGTTCTCAGTTTGTGTAGTATACAACCAGGCAATTTTGTTGATGCTTGAACTTGGAGGCTGGAGCTGTTCAACACCCGTTGCGGACTATCCGGTGAGTGTGTATGAATTGCTCAACTGAGAAGTCAGTAAGATCCCCATGTGCTCGCTGTAGGAATGTAAAATTCCAAGGGAATACAACGGATGCTACACATGGCCGGCACCTGATACTAATAGTTCATCCCCTCAGGTGTACCCGAAAATTACCATTTATAAACTGTTTTAAACTGTTTCAATTTTTAAACCGTTTCCGTTTAATTTTCCCGGATCACTACACGAAAACTAAATGATTAGAGCCTTAACGCTGTCCGTCCTTTGCGCCGGCGGGCCTCACGAACTTACCCGCGAAGTTGACATCAACTCAGGAGTCAGTTTTCATGAAATCTCCGGAAACATCACACTCCAGTCAGTTCATTTGGAGATGCACAGGTACAAAAATTGTACAGTGGAGGCGAGGGAGGGTCCTCTTGAATCCCACACAGTGAAAACACCAATCCTGGTCATGGTTCCACTTCAAAGTAGCGTGTTTTTCGCTTCTGGGTTCCCCCATCAAAATCTGCTTAATCTTTCGGGGACATTTTCTCCACAACGCATACACCGAAATTCATGAAATTAATTCTGGAGTAACTTCAATGTAAGCTCATCTGGACTGTAAAGCCAAACGGCCAGCTCGCTGGGACCCCCTTAAAAAATCAGGGGTTAAATTATATATATTTTTTGGTACCCGGTTTCAGCTGTGTAGCTGTGACTTGGTAACTTCAACAAATTATACCAACACAGGATATGATCAAGAGGTACCGTAGCATAATTGCTGATGTTCCAAAACAGAATATCGATCTCAACACCTGTGGAAGCTCAACTCAACCAGATCAGTTTCCTGTGATCCGATTCTCTTGCCGTTTCGGCTGCATTGAGATATTCGGGACCTATCTACCCATCTCCGGACCACTGATATCGACCTCTTGGCTCAGTGGTAGAGCATCTGATTCCAGTGACACGTGACCCTAGCACTGAGCCATCGTGCTGTGTCTCCAGAAGGTCGTCCGTTCGATCCGGGCAGAGGTCATTCTTTTGCTGGTGTTTCGAACTTTTTTTTACCCAAAAAAATATCTACTACCTTTCCTAAGCTTGCCCTCTCTCAGCTCCAGAGGCCAGAGATCACCTAAAGTCCCACAACCAACAACGGCTTGAGTGCCGGTTTAACCCAGAAGCATAAATTATCAGATCTTGTGACACATATCTTGGCCAATTCTTGCTCAAATCACTAGGTCCTAATCTCCAACCACCTCATATTGTTGGTGTCACTTGTGTGTGCCTCCCCTGTAGATCCATCTACTGTGTTGGTTCCTCAGCTGACCTACTTGTAGCTCCCCAGTATCGCCTTGTACCCAGGTCACATCATATTTACTATGGGATTCAACAAGATTGGGGTACCCTACTGCAACCTTTGTGTCACAATGGCGCCCTCTCAGGTCCATGGACTTCAACAATCTCGTTGTCTGTCAAACCAGCAACATTGTCCCCATGCTCACTGCCCGTCTCGACAACCTCCCCATCACTGGTTCTGTGCAGCACAAGAAAAGCCCCAAGCTCATGCTCTATTCCTCGCCCATCCGCTGTGGTGCATACAAGCTCTTCGTTTTCCTTTCTGGCACCATCTGCGGTGCTGCCACCCTGAGCAGCCCCCCACACACCCTTCAGTGTGCTGCTGACCTACTGCTTCACCCTCGCACCTGCCACCAGCATCTTAGCAGGCTGGCAGTGCACCTCCGCCATTCCTGCTATAGGTCCTGTCCATCGCAGCTCTTACGTAGGATACGCCCTCCGGCCGTCGAGCATTCCTGATTGGGCCATCCACTGCCTGTCTGTGCTGAGAGCCATATCATGGAAACAGATGGTCAATTCCCTACCTCATTGTCGGTATACAGCCATGCCGTTCTGCATCGGCTGGATGGGGCGCAGATGGTAGTGGTGACAATGAATCTCAACTCCCTCATCGCCATTGTCATTAATGAACTTCACTTCACCGCACGAACATTCCAACTCAGTGCAGTCACACTTCATTTGTGAGACTACCACTTCACGTGAATGTCCTGAAAGACAGACATGACTTGAACTGCGGATGCTTCTCGTTCGGAACATGGAACCGCGGCGAGAGTCGGATGTTGACTTTGAATATGGGTGTTTATCAGAATTATGAAGGTCTACATAGAACATGAAAGACTGAAGCATGTGGGTTTCCAATCTTTGTATCTCGAGTTGACTCATCTGCCTGGAACATATAGCGGAGTTTGTGCTGAAAGGAGCAAGGAAAGTCCCATCACATAACAAGTCTACCTCGTCACAGCGGAGTCGGTAGCCCATACCTGGGTGGAAGAGCCATTGCAGTCCATGGTGGTGACCTATATTTAGTATAGAACACTGCATCAGCATCTGAATCGCTGACAGGGAGCAAGGAAACCCACAGCGGTGCCTGTATTTGTGAGACACTTGAAATTTCAAGCCAATGATAGCAATGAACATTACAATTCACAAAGCCGGACTGGAGCACCAACCTTCCCCTGCGCATCCCACACGATTTGAACAGTCCCGGAAGACGGACCATTCATCATCCGGAACAGCTGCCGATTCTTTGCCGGATTGAGGCACGGCTGAATCTGTAGCTGCACGCCGTCGTCAATGTCTCCGCCCGGGACAGTCAGGCACATGTTGTTTAGCACATCACCCATTTTGAAATTCTCTGTGACGGAACCGAATTGGGGTAGATCACAATGAAGCCTTGGGTTGGTGGGTTGGGGCCTGTAGGGAGGGCCGTGAAGCAGGGCGCGACGACAACAGGTGAGTTGGCGGTTGAGCCGGTCGAGGTTATTGGGGGCCCATCAAGTGCCAAATAGGCATTGGATTGAAAGTGACGGGCCTGAATAAAGCTGAGAACAGCTATTGTTGGGACAAGTAATTCATTAGAAAAATTCAAGTGGTGATCTGTGAGATTGAGAGACGTAGTTCTTCACTGCAGTAGAGGTTTACACCTAGTCCTTTATACGACGCGTCAATGATCCCAGTCAGCCTGTGAATGATGGGCGCCCATCAACTGCCAAATAGGCACTGGATTGAAGGGACGGGTTTGAATAAATGTGGCCAGATCTGATTCCCGACAGATTCTGACAGAGTGATAAAAAGTGTGTGTCCTGCGAAGAGTTTCTTGGCTGGTCGGAGGTCTGCTTCGGCGTTCGATTCAGATTGACTCGAAATTGTGTGCAGAGACCTAAATTGGTATTCGTGGTGTTGAAATGCTTGCTCGGTGTCTACAACAGCAGTACTAGTTTAATCAAGACCCAACGAGCAGAATGCGAGTTGCTTGATTAAGGCAAAAACGCAACTACTAACCAAATCCTAACTACTTTCCCCTTGAATGGTTTAGACTGTGCCGCCGAGTACGGGTCTTTTGAACGCTTTAAGAAGGTTCAAGGAGCACAGATAATCCAACAGAGGTTGCGAGGAACAAGCCTGTTTTAAGAGGTCTAGTCCGAAGTGCAAGGTTGATTTAGAGTATTAGACCTCTTTGAACAATGCCAAACGAGTGCCTAAGCCAACAAATCGAGTTTAAAAGCTTTAGAAGCTTGAGCCAACAATCCCAATCCTAACAAGGTGCCGTGTTCTCCAAATCCCAAATAATAAGCCTTCCAAGGCTACTGTAGTGCGGTGCCGTGTTCTCAATCCTAATAAGCTCTCTCTCTAGCTCTTAACCGTTTCCAATCCCAAGATCCCAATCCAACAATTGATATTGAGTTACTCGTGCAGACGAAACAAAACTTCTTAACGAAGTCAGTCCTGGGTGACAAGTCCCGAATCTCCGTCGTTTATCAAGCAATACCCGGTAAAGGCTAATGCTCTTAGTGACAGAAAGTTCAGTCCTATCCATGCCAAAACCTCCTCCTTATATACTGTACAATTACGCTTACAATACAATGATTAGTCTACTGGCTGGTATATGAGTAAGGCGTCCGTAGTTAATCACGTGTGGGTAAATATATAGGATCCTCGTGTGTCGACCCCTTAATGCTTGAGTGTGTCCGGTGTGACTGCTCCTTGTCTGATTGTGTAGACAGTCCCATCTTCTATCCTCTTGTCCCCCGTTCAGGACCTTCAGTTTTAGGTAGACGTAGGTACTGGCTCTGAGCCAGTACCTTAATCAGCCCAAACCGCCAAGTGGTTGTGGAGATATGCGAGTTACCGTCCTGGCCTGGTTCAAGTAACCAAATCAGGATGGCAACAATGATCGGATAGTTGATAAGCGAAGTTCAACCGCAGCCGGGGTAACCGGTTACTGTTAAACCCAAATCACCTGACCCGTCGCGCAAGGCTCCCTCTGTAAATCAAACACAACAAAGTACTTGAACGCTTAACCAAGACCCCATAGTGGTGCCCCAGATCATCAGAGAGGATGATTAATATTGCCCATGTTGTTTGTAGGCCCCACGATGCCTTGATTAAGCAGCGATGCTTAATCTTGGCAATTAAACCCTTAATCATGGATGTCAACCAGTATGTACTTTCCAGTTGATGCATCCCAGGCGGACTTGATTAAGGTCCTCATGCAGGATAAGCCCTGATTAGCCATATAGGACTTATGCTAATCCTTTGGAGCAGCGCGCTACGTGATTAAGGTGGAAATCGGCAAATTCCTTGCTATTTCACCCATGGTCCGTTTCACGGCTTATCAGCGTCGCTCAATGTTCAAAGTGCCAATGCTGACAGACAGGTATGGCAGCACTGCACAATGTTACACACATTAAAATGATACATATCATGGTCAGCAGGAGCAGGCAATTTTTTCTGCTGATGAACTTCGGAGGATGTATGAAGCAGGCACGGCAAGCGTTTAAGCAGACCAAAAACATCCTTTACAGTAACACCAAAATTTCGATCACTGTCGCCACACAGTCGGGCCAGCGGATAAAAAAATTGGTGATTCCGAGGGTTTTAAAAACCCAAATTGGCTGTTTCGCAGGGTTTTCGCTTGCCGCAGCCTGAACTTGGACCATTTCCCATCGGTGGCTATACTTCCCGTGACATTGCGGGATCCCCATCGTAACGTGCTCCACGACTAAGCATCTGGATGAGTTCTCTTCAATCAATTTGTTTTCTCAAATGAATAGTAGGCCTCAGAGGGGGCAGATGAAACCAGCGGGTCCGACATGAATCTCTATCAACATGATTTCCCATTTCATAGGTCACTAGTTCAAGAACTTCTCCCTGTTGTGCTGCCAAGAGTGCAGCTATTTTTGAGGTGCAGATTAGTTTGAAAAATAAAATAAAATAAAAACAAGTAATCCAGTGGAAGAGATCCGTCTTCAAAAACATTTTGATCCGAGCGAAAACGGAGTTTACGGGCCTTCTGACATACCGCTCGCGGTCTTGACAGACCTTGTTCAGCCTTATAAACAGTCTCCTGTAGGGGGTTGAGATACCCCAGAAACAGAATTGGATGTATTCCACAGAATAATTACTAGACACGGTTGAGGAAGGAGTTGCATAGCTTTCGAACTCCCTTAGCAGTTAAGAGTAATAGGAGGAGGAGGAGGAGGATGTATACCGGCACGGTCCCGTTAAGAAACAGCCGGGGCCCATACTACATACATGTGTCATTTGTATGCTACGGATACTCTCTTCCTTTCACCATTTCACAACCTGAGTACCCCGTCAAACACCTCCCCAGCTAGATCAGTAATAAAAAAGAGAAAAAATACCGGTGGGTCAATTGAGATGCATTCAGAGCCGCAGGGCTGCCTGGTGTCCAGAATTGAGTATGAGGGAACAAGATTTACTTGGTCACTTGTTGATAGGGGCGGTGGAGCGACTGGATAGGGCCGGTGGCGAGTCGTCACTGTCCGACACATCCCGCACGACTCTTCAAATTTTAGATTCTATTGAGTTGGCTCAAGAGAAGACTGAGAAGCGCGTAGCAGGGCTCTTGACTCCGCTCGGTCTGGGCTCATGGCATCCAGCCGTTGCACGGATATTGAGTAGCCTCGTGTATGGCACTGAGTACACCATGTATCCCTT